TTTTCTTCACCTTCTTGGTTGGGAGTCATCTTTTGAGGTAGGGATATCCTACTCCTCTTTATGAGCTTTGTCTTTAAATTTTTACATTTTGATATGTTGGGGGTTGTTGGGTAATTTTGAGAGAGTTGGGGCTTTTGTGTTATTTTACAAAAGTTGGGGTTTTATTCATAATAAACCTAGATGCATGTTTGGCATGGAGTATTGGAATAAATGTTGAATCATTGATGAAAATGGGACCTAAGGGTTGAAATGGTAATTATGGAAAATGACCTAATTACATTGTTTGATTAATTGGGATAATTAATTGTGAGAAATGAGGTAATGAAATGGAATTGTTGAGAATGGGAATCTATGAGGTTAAAGGGTGTAGTTGAATTATTTGTCACTCACCGGAATGAAATGTTGATTGAATATCCATTTGTGCATTTATTTTCTGTTTAGAAATAATTGCTTTGGGCTATCGGTGGAGGGTAGTCTTGATTGTTGTAGACAATGCATGATGATTAGGCAAACTAAAACTAATCAATTGAATGTATCATAGAATATGACGGTGGATAGAATACATTAACTTTATGTATTGATTGATTGTGTATAGAACCTATGTGTTTATATGCATTATGTGTAGAGAAGGAGATGGGGGATGTACTCCACGGTTTAGGGGAAGATGGGGGATGTACCTCTAAACCGGATAGTGTTGGGAGGAGATGGGGGATGAACTCCGTAGATACAGCTCATATGCTTGTCTAGAGAAGTGAAGATACAGCTCATACGCTTATCTTTGAGAAGTGTAGATACAGCTCATATGCTTGTCTAGAGAAGTGTAGATACGGCTCATATGCTTATCTGTGGATGTGTGATATAGTTCTTATACTTATCTGTCGATGTGTTGATATAGCTCATATGCTTATCTACTGTGTAATGGGAAATGAAAAGTAACATGAACTTGTATGGCATGAAACTACAATGTGATAATAATGGAAGTATCAGTGTTGGCCATCTATCAACTGCTAATCTTTTAGTCACTGTTCATAGTTGGTTTAGTGTATTTCTACTGGGCTGTGGCTCACCCTATATGGGAACATCATTTTCAGGTACAGGTAGCATGCCACCTCCAAGGACATAGCTTGGGAGGCTAGAGGCGGACAGACTTTTTGTTGTCTATTTTCTTTTGATGTATTACATGTAGATTCAAGCCAAGGGCTTAATGTGTAATTGAGCTAGTGCTCTCTTTTGTAACTAAGTGTTAACTTGGAAAGCTGTAAGCTCGTAGGGCATTTGCTTTTGTTGTTAACATGTAATACATGTTGTAATGAAATACTTGATGAATAGAAAATGTTGGTCTTTTGTATATCAATGCATGTCTATATTGTTGGGTTTAATGTTATTATTTGAGGGCGTTACAAGCGTCGCTGTCCAACCAAGGTAATAACCTCGGTTACAAGCTAGGTTGACTTGTTGTTTGTATTGGTTACGGATGGCAGCCTGCCCCTCTTCAAAAGCTTTTTCGTCTGCCGCCTTGACTTCGACCTCCTTTGAGTCAAGGGCCTCCTGAAGCTTAGCCTCTATGTTAGCTGCCTTGGCCTTGGCAACCACAAGATCAGCTCTGGCGACCTCGGCTTCATCATCGGCCAATTTGGCCTTTTCCTCAGCCAAATTCTGAGCAGCTTTGGCAGCCTTAGCTTGATCCAACATATAGCGATTCCAGGTTTTTACCCCTTGTTGTACAATGATTCGGACTTGGTTCCGTGGATGCTAGCAGTTGTTTATATCTTGTTTACATCCTTTCGTACTGTGTATTTGAGTTATAGGATGTGTTGGGCGTGTTCTGAACAGATAGGTTGAGTTTTGGTCTTAAGTGTAGTTGCCTAGGTTTTTGGTGTTACGCTCGAGCGGACCATTCTGCGCTCGAGTGGAGTTTGGTTTTTAGTTGTCCGCTCGATTGGAGTTTACATACTCCTAATATTTCGTACCTCTGCAAAACTTCTGCAGGTGTGTTTTTCACGCTCAAGCGGGTTTCTTTACGCTCGAACGGGTAGTGCTTTGTTTGTGAAAGTTCTGGGAGATGAAAATCTACGCTCGAGCGGACTGGTTCTTCGCACTCGAGCGGGTGTGTTTTGATTTTATTTCTTGGCGCTCGAGCGGGCATTCTTGCGCTCAAGCGGGTCCAGATTATTGTGCTTGACGCTCGAGCGTTCTATTCTCCGCTCGAGCGGGTCATACGTATATGAGTCATTCGCTGGGTAATTTTAAATCACTTTTTACATTTCTTTTCTCTCTCTTACTTTCCCAAAATTGTTTCTCTAGGATCTCCCTTCTCTCTAGGATTTGATCTAGTTAGAGTGTCCCCCTACCCTTCGGCCTTTGTAAAAAGTGTGTGGATCGTCGAGGGCTTCGTTTTGATCCGTGGATCTTGGAGTTTGGAGCATTTTGGTTTTCTTCAACTTCTCCGTTTGAGCTCTAACTTCGAGGTAGGGATATCCTACTCCTATTTATGAGCTTTGTCTTTGAATTTTAACATTTTGATACGTTGGAGGTTATTGGGAAATTTTGAGGAAGTTTGGGCCTTTATGTAATTTTACAAAAGAAAGGGTTTTACTTATATAAACCAATATGCATGTTTAGCATGGAGAATTGAGGTGAATGGTGGGTTATTGATAGAAATGGAACCTTAGGGTTGTTTTGTTAATTATGACAAATGCCCTAATTACATTGATAAATTAATTTGTAAAAAATTAATTTTGAGAAATGAGAAATTGAATTGAGAATGTTGAAATTGAGAATGTATGGGATTAAAGGGTGTAGTTGGATCATGTATCACTCACCTAGTTGAAATATTGATATTTTATCCATTTGGTGCATTTATTTTCTATTTAGAAATAACTGCTTTGGGCTATCGGTAGAGGATAGTCTTGATTGTTGTAGACAACGCATGATGATTAGGCAAACTAAAACTAATCGATTGAGTATGCTATCGAATATAGCGGTTGGAATAATATATTAACTTTGTGTATTGATTGATTATGTATATGATCTACGTTTATATACATTATGTGTGGGAGGAGATATGAGATGTACTCCACGTTTTAGGGGAAGATAAGGGATGAACCTCTAAACCAGATTTTGTTTGACATTGATACAACACTACAATGTGTATCAAGTATGGATTGTGGAAGTATTTGAATTGATTTGATATAGCACTAAAATGTATATCGTTATCAATTGTGAAGTATAGAAGTATTTCTATGTTATATCAATACAACACCAAAATGTGTATTCTTCGTAAAGTATGGAAGTGGTTTATGTGTCATTGATACAGCACCAAAATGTGTATCCATCATGAATTTCAAAAGTGTTTTAATGATGAGTTACAATCTCATTAAGTTATTTGGCTAGGTTCTGAGCCTTGTTTTCAAACTCAAGGTTGAAAGAGAAGTGGGAAATGAAATGTAACATGGACTTGAATGTCATGAAACTGTAATATGTTATAAGTGGGAATATAAGTGTGGACCATCTACCGAATGCTGTTATTTTAGTCATCGTTTATAATTGGTTTAGTATATTTCTACTGGGTTGTGGCTCACCCTATATGAGATACCATTTTCAGGTACAGGTAGCATGCCATCTCCAAGGACATAGCTTGGGAGGCTAGAGGCAGACAGACTTTTTGGTTGTTATGTTTTCCTTTGATGTATTACATGTAAATCCAAGCCAAGGGCTTAATATGTATATGAGTTAGTACTCATTTCTTGTAACCAAGTGTTGGCTTGGAAAGTTGTAAGCCCATAAGGCGTTTACTTTTGTTGTCAACATGTAATACTTTTGTAAGAACTACTCTGATAAATAGAAAGATGTTTATTTCTCTTATATTGTTGCATGTCAAGAATGATAGGTTTTATGTATTATTTTGAGGGCGTTACACAACAGAGCTCGATTGTTGGCCTTGGTGTGATTGAGTGAGGATAGGATTTTGGTAGCTTCCTTGGTCTTCTTTGCCAACTCCTTCCTTGTCATTTCAGCTTTGACTGCATGTGAATGAGCATGCTGGATAGCCTGCAAGAAGCAAAACAGATTAGTGAAATTTGATTAAGTATGGAAATACTATAAAAGAGTAAATGAAGAAGATTACCAAAACTGAGTGCTACATCATCAAGCCGAAGTTCTCGTACTCGTGAAGATCGGCAATATAATTCATGTCCTCTAAAAGGAGAATAGTTGTTGACAAGGCGGCGCTAACCTCCACATCCTTGATTGCACTGTCATCGGCCATCAACGGTCTGTCCCCCGCCATGACCTCGGGCGCCCAAGTCATGTTTCGGGGAAAGCTGCTGCCTTCGAGATGGTTGGACCTCGGCTTCTTAGCTGGTGGCGCATCGGGCGATGGGTCCTTAACTGGCCTCTTGTTGGTAGAAGGAGTACTCTTTTTAGCCTCGGCTAGTTTGGAGATTGGTATAGTGTCCTTAAAATCAATCTAAGTCACTGTGACCTTAGCCTTGGCCTTGTTCACTCTTTTCGGCTTTGGCTATGGTTGGGATGGAGAAGACGAGGATTGCACCGTCACAACCCTGAGGATATTGGCAAGGAGATCCTCTACGATGGCTAGTTTACGACCCATCTCTTCGGCGGTGGCGGCAACAGTGACTTTGGTACCAAAGCGGATTGCTGGAAGTGCAGTAGGTGGGTTTGTTAGATCGTAAGCCGACGCCTCAGTGTTTTGGCGTTTATGGCTACGAGTTTTGCCTGCAGGAGCGAAGAGTGGAGCTCGGTGTCGGCATTGGCGCTGGGCTGGAGGAATAAGTTGGGGAGTAGATGTTGATGGTTGCTCTGCTGGATCAGAAGTTGAGGCTTGATCAGGTCTTGGTGATGAAGCAGTAGGGAGAGATGTCGTAGAAGGTAGAGATTTGCTCTTTTGGAGGACGTCGGGCAGGATTGACTTGTATGTTGGAATGTAGTTCAGTAGAAGAGGCGCCTTGCACTTCTGCACAGGGAGATCTAACAACTGGTTTAGATCTCAGTTGAGAACGAATGATTGTCGAAATCCCTTTGCCGGCTGGGGAAGAGTTGCAAAAAAGAGTAAGAAGGCAAAAGTATTTAGACAAAGATATATCAAGTTGGTATGTCCTAACAGAAATGTGATTAGAGGAATGACTCAGTCTTTACCATTATCCTCTTTAAAAACTGTTCGGTTCAGAGGATAGAGATGGAGATCATTATCTGGTGTAAACTCCCAGTTGCCCGAGACGATGAAGTAATCATCTCCAACACCCTTGTTGGAGTCTGTGAGGTCGGCTATTAGTTTGAAAGCGGTAGATCTGGGTTTAAGATAGTATATGTAGCCTTTTTCAGACTTAAGGCCACACATGGTATAGCAGAATTGGATATCGGTTAGAGTGATCCTAACTTTTTCCTAGTGTGCAAGTTCGATAATACCATTTATGACCCTATATGAGTTTATGGCAAGTTGCATGGGGTTAAGTTTGTAATAATGGAGGATTTCACGACAGAGAGTGTCTAGAGGAAGACGAAGTCCACATTCAATGAATGCAACGATGGGGAAGGGCATGAAGTTGTCATAGGGCATGATTGAGTCCTCCTCTCCAGCTAACCTCAGATGGATGTCGGCTGGGATGAAAAACTCTCTCCTAAAGTGTTCAAGTTTTTCTAGGATATCTACCCTCCACCTAAACATTCCCATTATCTCGGCTTACAGTGTTTTGGGATGAATGTCAGAGAAAAGAAAATGGTAGGGATTGATAACCTCGGCTAAAACAAAAACTGGAACTGGGGCAAAAGTTTTTGAAGATCTAGGAGAATTTGGTTTGATTTTCCTAAAAGAATGTGATTTCTAGCAAATCCCAAACCTAAGTCTATATACGGAAACAAGAATCAGGGGCAAGAATCTAGAAACAAGTCAAAGAGAAACAGGAAAAAAAAACATGATTCAGAGCCAAGAAAGCAACTTTTTCAAGAACATTGAGTAAGTGTGTGCAAATGGGCAAAAGTCAAGAGCAGTGACAAACTACTAAAGCATCAAGTATATGAAAAAACACAAGCAAACATTCAAGACGCCAGAAATAACTCATAAGACGAAAAAAAGAAAACAGATTCAATGGCAACATGTAAGGCATTTGAATAGATACGAATTGAAAACCATATGGCTAAGAACAGTACAAATTATTCGAAAGTATGAATAGAGGTACGAAATCGGGGACTTACCGATTGGAGCCGAAGAAAAGGATGCCAGAATGAAGATCGCCGGAGTCAGATAGCAGCGATAATCAGAGCCAAATGATGAAATGCTCGCCGGAAGAGATGATCGGAACAGTTGCAGGAGCTTCAAAACATGAAAATGGCGATTTGGGAAATTTTTAGAGAGAAAGATCCTGAGCAGAGAAAATGCAAGAATACGAAGTGAGAAGATGAAGAGAGAGAAAGAGTGAAGAGAGAGAGAGAAGAAGTTTTTGTCAAAAATGAAAAGGCAACAATACATGATGAAATTGCCTTGGACGACATGCCTGGTGGGTGGCGTAGCAGAATCGATGTGACTTAATGATGCATGACAAGTACGGACCAATAAGGTGATGACACGTGAAAGAAACAGTTGGGGTAATGGAGCGTGATAGCTCATGCGCAGTTGAGATTCTTGGAATTCTTGAACTAATAGGGTAATGACCTCGGCTAGCGAAGCAATCTCGGTTGAGATGTTGAAAGAACTTGGTTCTTAATTCTTGATGAAGTGGGCATTTGAGTCCTGGTTACTTGATGTCAACGAGTCATGGTCTCAGTCAGAAAAGTACAAATATAGGTTCCATCACCTCAGGTTACCGAGGTAATAGAACCTAAGGGGCAGTTGTGGGGGAATATTTTGTGAATGACAGCACGTGGCCGAGGTGACGCTGATGTATCAGTCGGAGTGCCACGTGGCTTGGTCATGTGCCGAGATGATCTCGGCTAGGCCGAGGTTATCTGCGGAGATCTCGAAATCCGAGATGAGCGGATAAGGGACAAGAGTCCTAGAACAAGAGAGGATCTCAGTCTAGATAAAGATAAAGCTCTTAGGGAGTTTATCCCTATCTAACTGAGGGTCTAGGATAGGCATTGAGCCTGAGTCCATTGAAGCTAGGCTTTTATAGGAATCAGGTTGGTGTTGGCTATAAAAGTAAGGCACCCTCGTGGGTCTAAGATATGTTTTTTTATGCTTTGTCTAGTGAGTTAAGCATTATTGGCTATCTTTGAGAGATAATTACTGACTTGATTGTCGGAGTGCCCCCAGATGGACGAACCACCGCCGAATTCTTATATTTCTGTGATAGGTTGTTCAGGTTTAATCTATTCTGCCGGTTTTCTCCTATTGAGTTTCCTTGTTTGGTTGTGTGGTCAGAAATCAATACCCACAGTATACAAATCAAGCCGAATTTTTTAGTATTATAATCTGTCATGAAAGATTAGTCTAACTTGAATTCAAACTCAAGCCAAGTTCAAGTTGAATTTAAATAATTGAGTTCAATCCCAACTTGTAAAATCTTTTATGAACTTGAATTTGCTCGATTATATAAATAAACCGAGTTCAAGCTTAAATAAAAATTTAAATTAATTAACTTATTAAGATAAAAAAAGAATTATACTAAGCAAAATATATAAAAAATACTTATATTAATAATAAATTTCATCAATCAAATATGTAAATTTATATAAACAACAAACACAAATAATAAAAATAATAAAAGATTATTGAAAATTATTTGATATATTATTAAAAGTCAATATTAATTTATTTTCTTTATACTCACCGAGCCTTATCGAGCTGAGATTGGAACTACTTGAATTTGACTTGATTTATAAATGAGCCTAAAAATCAAGCTCAAACTCGTACATTTAATAAACGAGCATAGCTAAAATGAGTTTTAAACAAGTCAAGCTTAAACCATTCATAAAAAGCTTAGGCCTCGAGACCATGTTTTTTTAGTAACTTTTTAGCTTTTTAGCTAAAATATGATGTAAAAAAAATTAGTATATTTAGGATGACTTTTTGATTTTTTACAAAAAGATGTGCAAAAAATAGAGAGAAAAGAGAATCTTTGGTTGCGTTTGGTAGAGTTTTAGAATTATGATTTAAGAATAGAGTTGTATTTTGAGTTGGGTTCAGCTTGTGTCCAGTCCGAGATCAGACTGGACGGTGCTGTTGGGCCTGTGGAGGCCCACCACGAGTCCCATTTTGATAATCCGAACCGTTTAATGTGTAGAATTCATCAAGCACTATATGCCTGTAAAAAATCACATTGATCGGATATCGATAGCTATGTGATCAAATCAGTTTGTATAAAAAATTTGATGGTGAACAAATTAACGGTTGACAAAAAATTATTTTGATCACATAGCTATCGATATTTGATCAATGTGATTTCTTACAGGCATATAGTATTTGACGAGTTCTACACATTAAATGGTTCAGATTATCAAAATGGGATCCGTGGTTGGCCCCCACGAGCCCAACAGCACTGTCCAGTTCGATCTCGTACTGGACACAAGCTGCTCCCTTTTGAGTTTGTGAGTTTTAGAATTATGATTTGAGTGTAGAAAATTTATTTGATTGTGAGTTTTAAAAAGAGTTTGAATTGAGTGATGTGACATATAATATTGAAAAGTGGGTGTGGAATTAATTTTTTAAAACTGTAACCAAACAACACACTCAAACTAAGGGGTAGAATTAAATTTTAAAAGCTCTACCAAACATAGCCTTTGACTTTTTGGTATAAATTATTAATTTTTTAATTTTTTTAATAACTTTTTAACTTTTAAATTAAAAAAATTATATTGCCAAATGAGGACATAGTTTGTTCATTATCACCGCGATACTGTCAATTTCTCAAAAATTCTGTCCATTTCTTAATCAACTGGCAGCCGTCTTGATCATATATGAATCAAGATTTTCATATGATTCATACAATTGTAATAAATTGAAATAAACAGACTTAGGCCCCTTTGTTTGGGTTATAGGAAGGGAATTGGAAATAATAGTGAGATGGACTCATTATATAAAATGTTTGTTTTGAAAGATGAGATGAAGACTCCAAATTCCTTAATATTAGGATAAGTCTTGAAAGGAAGATTAAAATGGAAGAAGTGAAGATGGTATTAGAAAAATAATTCCAAGGACTAGAAAATTTTTATTTTTTTATTTTTACATGTTGAAAATTTTTTTTGAACATTAATTTTTAATTTTTTTTTTAATATTTTTTGTTAAGTAAAAATCATTATTTTATTTGTTTTATTTTTTTGAAATTTTTTATTTTTTAAAAAAAAATTTTACTTGTTGAATATTTTTTTTGAACATTAATTTTTAATGTTTTTGTATTTTTTAATTTTTTTAATTTTATATAAAAATAATTTAACAATCCTTACACTAACAATTATTATCAAAAACAAACATAATTTTACCTACCACCCTCACATTAATGTGGACCAATAATGTGTCTGCATTGTTTTTTTTTTTTTTTTTTTTTATTTTTCTTACTTAGGCCAATCACAAGTGAATGTGAATTGTGGGGATGATATTTTGTGAAAGTCTAAATCATTACTGATTTACTTAATCTCTTCACTATCAATTCCTCCTATCCTACCTATGAAAACAAACGGGACCTTATCGAAGAGGTGATTCCTTGACCAAATTCAAAGAAATAGATACTAAACAAAATGAAACTTAGAACTGAGAATGTATCTCTACATAAGCAAATAAAAATCAAAAAATTAAAGCTGCAAGCTACTAAAACTGTCTTAATGCCACTCGAAGGACAACAAATTTAGAGAAAACACAACTACAGAAACTGACAACCACGAGCATGCGTGCGCGAACACAATTATCACTATTGCATTGAATGCAACAAACGTTTCTTCTTTCAGTTTTGGACCTCCAATTCTCCACTCTCCCTCTCCCTCTCCCTCTCCCTCTCTTCTGCTTGAGCAGCCATCAGCTCATCAAATTTTGCTGTCTTCCCCAGTAAGATCTCAATCTGAAATAGAAACATTAACAATGTAAAAATCTTATCTCAACATGGGATGCAAGGTATGACCCAATATTCTTAGGTTTTGTTTGGGTTAGGATTTGAGGGACTTGCAAAGGGAAATGAAATAAAAGCTAAATTTTTGTCACATTTTCCTTACCTTTTCTTTTCCCTCCTCAAATCCTAATTCCAAACACACACCTTAAGAGTAAAGAAAAAAAGAGTTAAAAAGAAGATAGCTAAATCTACAACCTTTATCTCTGTTCACGTGGAATTAATAATCTCCTATAATGACTTTACAAGACATTCAGGATCATAAGAACTGACCACAAATAACAAATTAAACATGCAGGCACAGCTAGAGCTTAACTGTTAGAAAGCTAGCCTTCATTCATTTCAATTCTACTATAGCCAAGAGTTTAGTAAAAATCTTCTTTTCACATTGTCCCACTTACCTTGGCTTTTTGGACTGGTCTTCCCCTAGATTCATCCTTCATGTCCACCGTTGATGTCATAATTTCTGCATATTTTGATTTCGGAAAATCAAATTCAGCATTCTAATAATTCAACTACTAAATTGAGTGGTGAGTAAGGTTAGGACAGCTAAACCAATAGAAGCAAAAACTCACTCTTCTCGACAGCAAACCCATTATTTTTCAAAATCTCTGCAACCGTGACAACTGTGGCAATTGCTGCAGTAGTAAATCAGATGATAATATCAATACCACTGTTCTTTACATTGGTCAATAAAGACAACAGTCCATAGGCAGAGAAAGCAACACAAACAATAACAACAACAACAAATGAAGATGACAAATAACAATTAATGATGACAACTAATGAGAGGCCAACATCAAATCTAAATATATTTAATAACCCTAGGTATCAACTGTCTCTTTGAGAAACCATTGGTCCAACAATATTCCAATTTTATGCTCAAGATTGTTTACATAACTACATGAACTAGAATCATCACCATATATTACATTAGAGTATCAGTGCCCATATCAACAGTGATATAACCACTTGGTGGCCCTTTCCATTTTAGGGTGTCCTATTTTAGTTGCCAGAACCACCTGGTTCGATGGCTTAATGCATCACAACCTTTCCGGGTTGAGGGTTGAGGTTTTAGGTTTGGTTGGTAATACCAGTCTATACAGTTTCATGACATAAATATAGGGAAAAGTATTTGGTGCATATTAAAACAAGATATATCTATACACATTTATATGTGACCAAGAATATATGAATGCACACACTTTTTACGAGTATCAGTACAAGGTTTATAAAAATTACAAAAAAGAAAAGGGAAAAAACGTTAAACATGTTATCTTTCTAATAGTCAAACAAGCTTGGAAGTCAACAAGCATTACACAAACTAAGATGTATAAATATCCTTGTCCCTTAATTAATATGTACCAGCATCTAAGCATGAGAGAGAGAGAGAGATTTCATCACTTTGTCCTGACTAAGATTGAAGTTCCCTAATACATTGTTGTTGGAATAGTATGAATCACAAATCAATTCAAGCGATTCAATATGAGTTTTTCTCCGCGTGAACTATGCATAACATTTTGTGTCCTTAATCTCATCATCTGTTAGGTGGGCCAACCAACCGACCGAATTGGGCCAGGCGTCCATGTCACAGAACCTTCTCTAGCCAAGAATCCCATTATTGATTGAATCGGGGCAGATCCAATTCATCGGCAAATGAAAAATCTACCGTTTTAACACTCAGAAAAAAAAAAAAAAAAAAAAAAAAGTCACTAAGACAAGAGCTAAGTAAGCAAGCAAGAAAAAAAAAAAAAAAAAAAAAAAAAAACTAGAAAAGAGGAAGAGTCACGAAGACAAGAGCTAAGTAAGCAAGCAAGAAGGAGAGGCTAGAAAAGGCAAGGCACGGGGCTCTCCATCTCACCCCAATCAAGTCCAGTACTAGAAGAAAGTTATGGTCTTAACTAAAAACATTATTATGACCAGCAAAGTCATTAAAAGAACTACACAATCTCCGTGTTATCAAAGGTGCACTGAGGCTCACACCTAGACGCAAGGTGCACTCGAGGCATGCAACGCCCATGGCGCAAAGATGTGCCTGGCACCCTTTCAATTGTGCCCAATTTGTTAAAGATGTGATACCAACCCGTTGATGTTTGCCATGTTGATGTTTTTGTTTTCTCCAATTTTATTTTATTTTATTTTTGGGTGTTAACATAGGCTACAAAAATAACCACAAAATAAAAATAAAAATCTCCATACATGGAAGCAGCTGACAAAAATTTAAATAAATAAAAAAAAGGGTGCCTTTGAAGAGAGAAAATTTAAGCAATAGATATATATAAGCAGTTAAAGAACACAATACCCATTCCAAGAGCTGAGAGCTCCACCTCATTGAATTGCTGCATATATCTCTGCAGAGACATCAAATAAACAATTCAAAAAAATAAAAATGAAAATCAACAAAACAGAACACAATCACAAATTTGGGGACTAGGGTTTTGTTTACCTTGGCGAGATTGACATAGAAGAAGAGAGGCTTCTTGGTATTGGAGACTTGAATACGATTCTTCGCCTTTGCTTCGGTGATGGTGATGTTGTGCACTCCCTCTGCAATCTCCTCCATTTTATTGATCAAATCTATAAAACCTAAATACACTAATCCAAATCTCTCAACCTAAATACAATCTCAATCTTCAAGCTTTCAGTGTCTGCAAGTTAAGAATTTTTTTCACTTTTTTGTGGGCTAGGGTTTGTATACTGCTCTAGGAATTGGAATTGAAATTGGAATTGTTTGGGAACAGGTGTTAACTTGTCATGCTTGTCGGGTTATGTCAAATACCGGGACAGTTTTGTGTCCTAGTATTTAGGCCTAGTTTGGGAAGATTCAATAAGTGTATTTTTTGATTTTTTTTGTATTATGTGTAGAAAAAGTAGAGAGGAGATGTTGATTGATGTGACCCAAAAAAGATAAAAAGATGAAATAAGTGCACTTTTTTCTTTGTAGCCAAACTTGGCCTTAGTACTCCCTCCGTCCCATAATATTAGTCCTTTATTTTATTTTTTATGGTCCTAAAATATTAGTCACTCTTCAAAAATCAAGTACAAAAATAATATAAATTTTCTATTTTGCCCTTCTTTTAAATTAATAAATAATATAAAAAGTACAATTATGACATTAATATTCCCAAAAAAATGTACTATCAAAGGGTAATTTTGGAAAATCAACTTTTTTATAGTACCATAATTATACTATCAAAAAAAGTTGAATTCCCCAAAAGGGACCATTATTTTGGGACAGAGGGAGTATTTATTATTAAGGTAAATTACAAATACACTTCTTGAGATTTGATTAAAATATGAATCGTCTCTTATGGTTTTGAAAATTACATTCCACCCTTGAGATTTGATTAAAATATGAATCGTCTCTTATGGTTTTGAAAATTACATTCCACCCTTGAGATTCTTAATTTCATAATAAATGATCCATTTTATTAATAAATCATCAAATCAATTAACAGTTTTTAATGATGTTAAAAATAGGTTTTAATTAATAATTCAGGTAAATTTATTATTGTACAGGAGAGCAATTATGAATTTCATTTTTTTAGTTAATTCTGTTAAAAAATTCTAATAAAAGGGGTATTTGTAATTTTTCAAACCATAGGGGACAATCTGTATTTTAAGCAAACCTCAAGAGGTGTATTTGTAATTTACCTTTATTATTGTTATTATTATTACTCTTTCTGTTTTAAAGAATTTTTTTATTATTATTTCAAAATATTAGTCATTTTTTTAAAATTAAGGACTAAAATAATATAATTTTTTTAATTTTTCATTTTTTAAAATTGATTAACAATACAAAAAGGACAATTATGACAATTGAAATTTCTAAAAAATGTACTATCAAAGAGTAGTTTTGAAAAATTAATATTTTTAAAATGTAATAATTATACTATAAAAAAAAAGTTAAATTCTCCAAAAATGACTATTATTTGAGGACGGATGGAGTATTATTATTATTTTTCACGGTATAAGTGTTACTCCCTCTGTCTCAAAATAATAATAATTTTTGAGAAATCTAACTTTTTTTTGATATTACAATTATTACATTTTAAAAATATTAATTTTTTAAAATTACCCTTTGATAGTACATTTTTTTTTAGAATATCAATTATCATAATTATACTTTTTATGTTATTAATGAATTTAAAAGAAGTGCAAAATAGTAAATTTATATTATTTTATTCTTTGATTTTTGAAAAGAGACTAATATTTTGAAACAATAAAAAATAAAATAAGGAACAAATATTTTAGAGCGAATGAAGTAATTTAAAGTTAAAAGTGTTAATTTCACTTTATTCCTTTAACTTTTATTTTTTAGGTAAATTATAAATATAATTATGAAATTTGTTTAAATTTCGAATTACTTTCTATCAAGTCATTTAACAGGTATTAATAATGTTAAAATTATATTTTCATTAATAATTAAGATATTTTTTTAGAACCTCCCAATAGAATAGAATATTTGATGCTTTTCTTCTTCCTTTTTTTTTCTATTAATTTTGTTAAATAAAAATTTTTGACAAGAAAATGTTTATGATTTTTAAAACTACAAAAAAAATTTATATTTTAAACAAGCTTGAAGAGATGCATTTGTTAGTTATCTTTTTCTTCCATTTCATTTTAAATTATCAATTTAATCTTGTAAGCCTCGTTTTCGGAATTAGATTTTTTAATAATTTGTTAATTTTTTATTATTATTTAAATTGCCAAATGGGCCTTCGTCATTAGAGTTTTTTATTTTTATTTTTTTTAAAACTTTAAATTTCAATTCACACGAGCTAATTGGAAATAACATGTCTAAATTAATAATGGTGAAAACTTAATGAGTAAAATGGGTAATTTTACAATTTGAGATCTATTTTGTATTTTAATATATTTTATTGAATGACTTATTATCAAATATACAATGTATTAAGTCTTGAGCTTTCCGATTAAAAAATTAAAATAAAAAAATCATGCAACTAAACACACGCCATCTTATTCAGACCATATTATACACCTTACAACCAAATATATAACTTCCTCTCCACACATCATTTCAAAATAGTGAACAAAAAAATATAAGTATTTTGTTGTATGATTTAAATAATTTAAATTTTAAAATAATATTTTTGTCTATTAAATTAGGCTTCAACATTTTGACAACCATATGCAATCTAAGATTATAAACAATAGGAAGTAAATAGATAAAATTAATATTTTAATAATGAAATAGAAAAATAACGATAACTTAGGGATAATTGTTTGGATCAACTCATTTTTCTAAAAATTAAGTTTTTGTTTTCGGTATTTTTTTTTTTAATTTTTAGTGATCTTTTTAAATATTTATGCAATTTTTTTTTAAATACATCTAATCTAGATACACTTAAAAATATAATAGTTGTAAAAAAAAAAACACTTACCAAATACAAAAAAATTAAAAAATGAAAATTTAGTACATTCTAATGATTTTTTTTTATAAAAAAATTGTACAAATTATAAATTTTTTAAGTATATCAAAATTAAGTAGATCTAACAAGTAAAAAAAATTAATAAAAAAATCACTAAAACTATAAAAATATGAATTAAAAATGCAAAAAATCATTTTAAAAAATTCACCAAACATAAATTTTCTTTCCTTTTTCTTTTCTTTTATTGACGTTAATTCTGTTAGGCAAAACGCAGCTCATAAAATCTCAAATCAAATATGGCAATAAACGAACAACAAACAACTCAATTGGATTTTGAGATGGACAATTTTCCAATGTTAATTGAGCCCTGTTACCAGCCACAACCATAACAACAAGCTATTCAACCGAATTTTCAGATGGACAATGTTTCAATGTTGATGGAGCCTTGTGTGGCCTTGGATTTTCCAAGCCAACCATGCGGCCTTAGATGCTTATCAACCCACTTGGTTGCACCTAAGTTAGCCTTCCTCACTCGACCACATCCGTTTGGCAAGATGGTTTGTGACTAAAATAGTCACAAAAGGCAAAATATGCTATTTTAGTCACAACAAACAAAACATCACATCCAACCTATAATCATTACATTCTTCTCTCACAAAAAAAATTAAAAAAGCCAAAAAGTCAAAAAGTCTTTCCCAAAATAGCTAAAAAAGCCAAAAAGTTAAAAAAGTCAAAAAGCTAAAAAGCCAACCTACTCCCCAAACCAACCCTAAAACACAAAGTTTAGGTGGAAGAATGTATTCACTATACAAGTATAGTTGTGTACAAAGCTTTACAAGGCTCTCACCCTCACAAGTGCTTTACTCTTAGAGCTCTCTTGGATCCCCTACAAATGAGACTCCTCCCCTTATATAGCCATCTACCTCCTCAATGGATGGCTAGGATCATTTTGATCCAAGGGTTACAAGTTCTCCTCTAGAACCCTCCATAGAAATATCTAGGACAACTACCCTTCTACTACTTTCTAGAATTCTCTATACTAGTGCAGTACATTGTAGGCTTTTCTATGATATTCTAGGATGTTCTAGACCCATCCAGACTCTTCTGGACCTTCCAAGGTTCTTCCACCATATTCCAGAATCTTTTAAGCCACTCCGGACCCTTCCACCAAGTTCTAGAGCCTTCCAGCATACTCTAGCTCGTTCTCACGCCTTCTGAAACCTTCCAGCGCCTTTGGCATACCTCAAACGCTGCTCTTTGTGTCACAGAAATTCTCGGGACGTGACACTTGTTACCAACCACAACCACAACAATAAGATACTCAACTGAATTTTGAGATGGACAACCTTTCAATGTTGCTTGAGCCTTGTTACCAGTACCAATTTGGCATTTTCTGATCTGTTGAGAGAATTCATACACTTTCGTTGTTTTAGATTTATGGGTAAGCTTTATAATTATACTAGGAATTTAGGAAAGTATTGGGAAATATCATCATATTCATAGCTGTATTTTATTTGAACTTAGCATTTTTGTCATTAGCAATGTAACTTTTTCCAGGAATTTCCGCAAAAAAAATTGGTGAATGTATAGAGGTGTGTCTCAGTTTTGTCTTGCTAGAGGTCTAGCATTCTTTAAATATGATAAATATGATGTATACACATTTTCTTTATTTGGTGATCAACATCTATTTGTGTCACTTTCTACGTTGCCTCATATTATATGCAGAACTGCTTTAGTGCAATGTTGACGAGCCATATGCATCTGGAGAAGTTGAGTTTTTAACTAAGAAAGGACCCATCATTTTCAATCACTTTCACAACTTCTACAGTGGATTGGAATGAAGACATAATACAGATTTTAGGATCATTGAATAATCATAATCAATAAATATCAATTACAAATATTCAGTTGATTTGTGTTTGTCTTAAAATTTGAAAAACAATATAATTAGCTTCATTCTTTTGATATAATTATATTAATCTGTTTTAAGGTTCTAATTTACATCACTTTCATCAAATTTTTGTCAATCGTATAAATAGGGGAAAAAGTAATATTATTATCTATTTTTTATAAAAATATATATTTATCTTTATTTATTTCAGTAATTATATCAAAAGTATGATCCTAATTATATTTTTTTTAAACTTGAGTATAATTTATCATAAAAGTTACTAGTTAAAAGAGTGATCAATAGTTAAATGACACTAACAACAAATATCATCAAATATTAAGCCATAAAATTAAAATTTATGGCAATGACACTACAACAAATATAATTTTAGAGACAAAAATTTAGCAACAAAATCACTTTTTAATAACAGAATATTTTAGTTTTAAAAAATATCAT